TCTGAATGACGGTTGGGGCCCAATGTCTTCTTAGTGCGGTTAGCATTCACTCGTATTGCGACTGCCGGCCCCGAGCACCTTGACTTTACCAATAAGACGGGTGTTACCAGCCTCGGAATGGTAACTTCTTGTCGTGAGGTTGCAAATGGCGCTTCCGACTCAGGCAGCGAGTTAGAGGTCATTGTCGCACATTGTGACTGGGATGGAGAAGTAAGCACTTTTCCAATCTAATCCCACCCATCTCACAGTACTCATCACCCTTTCCCACAGGAGCGTGTCCACAGGCGATTCAATGTCAAGTACATTGTCCCTGGTACAAAAAACCTCGTCAAAACTCATACATTATATCAAGCTGGTCGCAAAGTCAACATCATTGGCCGCTTAGTTGATTTCGATGTCAAAGACCACATGGCAGTAGTCCTTGTAAGTCATCTCCCGAAATTGACGAGGGCACAAACTCACCTCCTCCACATTCAATCCAGGTCTCATCTGTGTCAATCACCTCTGGCCACCAACTTGGCCGAACCATCACAGTTAATCAAGGCCCCTCTACATCCAGTCCGATTGCTGGTAGGAAATTGTACGTATTCAAAAATAGCACATTGATACTTGTTGCAAACAGGTCATGCTGAGGTACTCTTATAATTTCCCAGTACAAGCTTCTCAAGCAAGAAAAAGGATTCGCCACGCACTTCCCCTGCCGTTGACCGATTGAAATCAACATTGCCTAACACAAAGGCCCCGATCGGAGAACATGATACCAACAAAGCCGCCAAACCCGCTCAACCTCGCACTCTTGACAAAGGCAAGGCAAAGGCTTGCGATAATTCTGACAGTGATCAAACAGACGCATCAGAGGATGATTCGGGCTCTGAAAGTGCCGCTGAGGTCGCAGCTACCCCAAGTCCCCAAGCTAAACGTGGCCGACCTCGCAAGAGTATCATCCAAGAAGCTGCCAAACGTATGAAAAAGCACTAAAAGCCGAAAACCCTCCTTCAGCAGTCGTTGCCGACCATGATACCTCCAATCATCTGTGCAACCTCAACTGAAATCATGGGTTTCATCCAGTTGCGCACTTTTAAGCCGCTTTTGAATTTTTCTTTTTTCACTCCACCAATGTACATACTCTGTAACTCACGGTTAAAATTTCAACCATCAAGACTGTTCTCCACCATCGCAGCGAACAACCATCGCTGAATGAATCCTATGTCATTGTGTTGGTGAAGGCTCACAACCATGTTGCTTTGAAGTTCTTATTTTTTTTCTCATTTCTCCTACACTTCTTATCATCACTGCAACTATTCGCGCAAGCCTTCCGTAAAATTTACTTTACTATAACTATTGCCTCAATGGCGGTCTATCTTTGTGCATTCATCGATCAGGTGGCAGATCATTCACGGAAAGCGCTATGATAAATCACACCAGTAGCAACAGAGAGAGAGAGAGCAGCCGGTTTGCTCAGTAAACCGGAACACAGCGTAAATATAGCAGAGGCATAAACAGTGATGAAGTTAATCTGTTTTAAAAACACTCGGATGCCTTTATGCATGTGCTCAGATACCTTAAAGCGACAAAAAGGCAAGATATTACATACAGTACCAAGAAGAGTGAAAATTTGATAGGACAACAAGACTGGAATACACTGGAATGCGCTTCGACTAAGGCTTGAATCAGCGAGTAACGGGTAGGAATGTCATCGATCTCGTGTTGACGACGTTTGAGGAATGAAGTCTGTTCATGGAAGTGCTTATTCAAGGCATCAGCTCCTGACCAACTGACCGAGAAGATGATAGTACAATGAGATGGCCACAACTAAGGGCTATGGAAGCGGGAATCTTACATAATAATTGGTCGTATTTTATAGTCAAACAACACATTTCAAGTTCACATTACTAACCCAAAAGGCTCCCGACCCCATAACGCAACCATCACCTTAACAAGAGCACACCCCATCTTCACACATCCTGGCTGAATCATTGTTGATCACCTCGACTTCCAAAATAATGGAATCCTGCTTCTCATACTATTGTGGTCCATTTGGGCGACAAGGGAGTAAGTAGACCGCACGCGTAGTAGCAAAAATTATATGAAACTCGAGAGGCAACCTACTGGTGCTTTTTCATCCACGAGGCTCATATGTTTGAAGAATGAGACCTCGGACTCTGATTCGAGTTTTACTTGTCACCGTAGGAGCCGGATTTCACAGGGAAAGTGAAGGCACCTTGTTGCCAGCTTATCAACGTGAGGGCGGTCAATGGGCTGAAACCTTCGTGAATGTTGACACCGGCGGGCGAAAAGTCGGTGAGGATCCTCTCAAATTGAGAGTTGGACTCGAACGTGGCCTCTGTGGTTCAAAGAAATTGAGACCGGGTTAACTCAAGATTGTTCCACAAGACCGCAAAACGGCCGACAGGCCGAATCTACGGACCTTGGGAGCGATATAAACCTCCGGGGTATCGACCAATGGTGTCGACAACACCTCGAAAACCTATGAGGAGAGACAATCACTTTATTAATTACGAGAATTGGTTTACTTGTTCATTCGAAACCTGACGAAGTACGGAAATAGTCTATATGAGGGGCAAGAGAAGACAACGAGTCATCATTAGTGGGATTCAGGGCTATGTAATTGATTTTTGATGAAGAGAAATTCGAAGCGGATGACATACTTGGTTACAAACTCCTTCCACCACATCAAACAAGACCAAAGCGCCGTCACACAATCGGCTAGCAGTTGAGACATCGGTAGTGAAATCAAAATGTCCTGGAGTATCGATGAGATTGATCCTGCATTCTTCGAGTTCTTCAACCCCCGCAGGATTTAATCGGACGGTGGCATATGAGAGAGAGAAAAAAGAAAGAAAAGAGAGACGACGGACCAGCTTCATATCCCAAAGCGCGAGCGACCAAGGCCAGACTGATCACGGTACTGCCACTGGTGCCTTCAAACACCCTACAGCGGGGCGAAGCATAAGGGACAATCGTCCCCTTCTTCTCCGCCTCGCGTATGACTTTTCTCCCAAAAAATCTTTTGAGTCGACCAGAACATGAGGTTGCGGAACAGATCGAGGGAAGGGGGGATTTTTTTTTCGTTTTGTTTGGAATCAATCATTTCGTTCTCTCCTTTCTCTCATCTTCGAGCTCGTGCTTGGAGTCATTCATTCTTAACACACACTTTGTAATGCGATCCGATCTTTTATCGAGCCTCCTGGATTAAGAAACTTGTCGGTGTCCGTTTTTTTTTATTAGTTCTGGATTTCACGGTCATCCATCGTTCTTGTTTGTCCATTCTTGACTCCAAGTATCGCAGCTTGCCGGCCATCTTCGGGGTAATGATGTTGTTGGCCGCCAGGAGAGAGTCTGCATAACTCGATTCGCCATGGTCCACATGAGCTAACTGTCGGTCATTTTAATCTACAAGTCTCCGAACCGAGACGACGAGGGGAATAGAGCGACGAGTTCGATAGTTCCGCAGAGACAAAGGATTGTTTTGATGAAGAATTAGGGGATCACTAATTAACGGCTCCATCCTGATCGTACGGAGATTTGTATCATCAATATTTGAGCTCGAATCCATTCTAGGGGGGGCATCGTCATTTGAGGTCGGGTCTAGCCTCCTGACATGTTTAATCTAATCGAATTGTCAATGGAGAAGCAAAATTCATGGTCCAACATTGAACTTCAATCTTCTACATTTATATCGGCCCCCATGTTCGCCTACTTACCCGTTCTGGATCGGCCGAAGGCGAAGTAGATCGAGTGTCGGTTTTCGAGTGGTTGATGTTGTTGGGAGGTTTGGCTCGGTCTGATTGGTTGAAGGCGAAGTTTACTCCCCAAAACAGGCCGTACCTCGCAAAGGCCTGTACATGCATAGTCAATCAGATATTTCAACCCCCCAAATCATACGACTACGCTCGGCTCACTAACTCAAAACTCATACCTCCGCCCAAAGTCAACTCCATCAAACTATCTCGACAAGGACTCTGTTCATCAATCCAGCAGTGAGTCAACTAAAAGTTCTTCTCAACCCCTTTATCACACCAATTGAGTGAAATTCTTATTGACCCATGAACATCTTTCAGACAACGAATCGCGAGGTGCCGAGCTACACTCAATTCGGTGAGTACTCATTCGCCTAGCTTGGTCATCCCACAAGGTCACGCTGATCGACTTAAGGGAGTAGTCTTTCAATTACTGACATATACATTCACGACAAGATGTTAAAGTCGAGAACAATTCATATTATCAGCTGCCTAGCAATATATTGACTTAGTTTTTATCTTGATTCTTGAAGGCCAAGTGATAGACAATCCATAAGGCAATCCTTCGGACCCGAACATATCCACGAACGATCATCGGTCTCCGACTACACTAAGATTTGCCTAACGTTCACGAACGATTGAACCGACGGTCGTCATTCTACCGGTACGTTTCAGTCAACGCATTACGTTCCAGCGTGAGAACCGATGACTTTATTTCTTACCTATTGTCACCGTTTCACATTCCAATTACAATTGATCCAAAAAAAAAAAGGGAAATAACATCGCCTTTCTGCAATTAAGTGAAGGGACCAGAACGGGACAAATAAGTTTTGGAGTCCATTACTCAATCTGCCTTCAATGTATGTGGTCAATCAACTTATTTCATCCATTCATCTTCAGGTAACTCATTTTTACGACTAAAGTGATTTGACATATATTTATCAAGCTTATTGATTATATTGGCCGACCACTTGATCCCATCTCTCAAAGTCAAGATCAACTCACACAAGCCTACATCGAAGCTACATCACCTGCATAGGGACCCATTTTCTGATTGAGTGTGATAGTAGAATACTTTTTGCGCCTTGAAGTTATGGGGATGTGTCGGCACGCTTACTTGATGGAAAGGAAAAGAAAGAACCGGTCGAAGAAACATGCGGATCAACGGACAAGCGAATTCGTCCTCACCATTGACAGTACAGGTAGGAAAATTAACGATCATCAAAAACGACAGGACAACTTACCGGTTTCGGCGCTGTCCTCACACACCACTGTTGTCTCACCTGAGTCAAATGGTAACCCTGAAGATAAAATTATATGGTCCTCAAAACGATATGTCCCACTTGAACTTTATCCTTGTATCGTTGGGGATGACCCGGATCGACCACCATCAAAAGAAGAAATCAAATCATGCAACACCATAGCCGCAACTTTCAAATACTTTGACCACGGAAAGGTTGTTATACACGACAAAGTGGATAAAGCAAAAATAATTGCCGTTATCGAATTCATTCCATTCGATGGTGCTTCTCAAGTCGAACTAGAAGAAATCGGCAAATTCACAAACTTTTTACACTCTGCCAAACGCTTTGTCAATGCCGTCGGCTCTGAGGCTCGTTCCTGGGGAGGCAAAATGTTCGCCATCGGTTGGCGAAAGGCAATGGTTGCATTCCAACTTTTAGGGCTCTACCGGAACAAAGCCGCTATTACCAGACATCCGGAAGATTACCGTCATCTTATGCAGAACTCGCCTCAAGTTTCAAGCATCCTTGGTAGAATGTTCCGACGGCTCGCTAATGTCGCTTTTTCCGAAAATCAACAGCTGATGAACGAATACTCAATTCCATCTATTGGTCATCCGGATTTCGACATGCCAATTGGGGATGACGATTGTGCCCCAAACCTCACTTTTACCGCTGGAGGATTCTTTAACCCGCCCCACTGCGACACTCAAGATTTGTCGGAGTTTGCTTTTGGGATATTCCTCCCTGTCAATAAGCATGACTTGTCACCCGCAACCGGTCCCACTCAGTCAAACTCATCGGCTGGAGCATTTGTCTTCCCAGATTACAGATGTGGCATTGACTTTGCAAAAGCTAACGGAATCGTCAAACTCGTTTGGAGGGCACGTGAGGCTCGACATTGTACCTTATTTTCAGATGTCGATTCACCTTACGAGCGGCTAGGAATGTCAATTCAAATCAATAAAAAGACTGCCACAACTTCCCAGGACACCAAAAGCGGTGCAATTTTCAATCGGCCTGCATACAAGGATATACCAAAGGAGAAACTCTACATAGGAAACCTCCAAACTTACGTTGATGGAACCCACTAGAACTAACCTGAACATCAACTGCATCGGATCCCATCATTGCATTAAAATTCTTTTGTGAGGATAGGCGGTCGGTAACCATCATCAGATATAATTTCTTCCTTACGCTTTCCTTTCAAAATATGTTTTGCATGATTAGTTTGAACTTTATGTTGAATTCTCGTCACCATTTGTCTTGGTTATTGTGTCAGTATCACTCCTGAACCAGAATTTGGGTTTTTAGAATTTCCAATTATTATGATGCCTTGCAACATGTAGAGGTTCCTCATCTCAACCATTCATCATGTCAGAATAATCCTCAAGCAATAATCTTGCACGATTCAAGGTTGGCTTTCATCCTGTTTTCTTTCGAAGCGAGACTTGACACGAACCTTGGATGAATTTTATCTCTAAAGGACTAAACCTCATCATCAGAATGGATAAATCCTGCAAGAAACAGTTGGAAAGGAAATGCCTATCTGCCGTTCATTAAGGTATTTAGGTTGACCACGTTTGGTTGACTCCAACCAAACCAGTTCTTTATTTGACATTATGTGCGAAGTTCACCAATCAGTTAATCAATCCTTAGGACCTGACTTGGCCTAAGATGCTTATCACTAACATTGATCACCCTTAAAATGCAAACTGCTGCAAAGGCAACGCCTATCTCCGCCGTCCATTAAGTTATTTAGTTTGACCACGTTTGTTTGACTCCAACTGAACCAGTTCTTTATTTCACATTATGCTCCAGGTTGACCAACTCAGTTGATCAAACATGAGGAACCGACTCGGCCAAACAGGGTTATCACTGGCATTGTTTAGACTTAAAATACGCTTATCAGTCATTCACAATCGCTTCATCTGACCCCACAACCCCGATTTCAAAACACAGAACAAATATACCAACTCGAGACTTTACTTTCCCTAACACATCGAAGGTGGCAGTGATGACGAATTATATTAACTCGACTCCGTTAATGTCTGGAGAAAAGAAGCCTTATAAATTAGCACCTACCCTCGAAGGGATAAGTCAGCTAACGTTTGGTGGAACTTGCCAGTTGGAACAAAAGGTAAGGTGTTTTATTAATTCGATTTTCCAACACTGACACCATGGTGCACATTGCAGTTTGAAGCTTTCGATCTAGAACTGGGCCTTTGCAACATATACAAAATCCTACTTCCATTAGAACTACACATTGATCGTGGTCTTGAGCGTCTTTTTATATCAAACAATAAAATAATTGCCACATTACTCGCACCATCTTTGGAAGACCTTGGCTACACTTTGACGTTAACGACAAATTATTCCATTAAGGGCTCAATAAGCAACAACAAAACATTTGGTAGAATTTGGGAGTTCAACCCTCTCCTTGTCAAAGCGTGTGACAAGATTGGATTGGAACACAGACCACACGGAATGGATATTTGTGGGGTAGGAATTGTACAGTCAATTCAAAAAGTCTGGGACTCAACAAGGACAAAACATATCAAGGATAAGATTCTTGTCAATCACCAACCTTCAGTAAGTTGACCGCCACGCATTAATGAATAAAGCTGACTCGCTCTATCAGGGAATTGCATCATGTATACAGTTACGAATAGACAAAGCAGTTGATGAAACTCCCAGGAGTGAAAGCTGTCAGATTTTGATTTGTGACAAAGTCAAATTTTTTGGTCGATTCATCGGCGAAGAAATTGGATCAGGCATTTTAATATTAGTTGTCAGTCCTACCAGTTGCAATATTCTCCAACTCATCATAAGCTGATGGCTGGCTGAATACTTTCCCAGGTCGATTAGCAACAAGTGCTTCACATCCTGTCTTGAACATTACAAGAAGGACCTGATGATTGTGCGGTGACTGTCAGCCACAGAGTACATGTCACAGTACCTTTCATGTACCAAGTAACTGCAACACCTGTACTTATGTATATAATTACTTATCCATAATGTTGATTACCTTTACCTCTTGTTATCTTATTATTATCATTAACTTATCTTATCTTATTTACCTTACATTTATCTTATCTGTTAATTACTTATCTATCAAATACATACCCGTGTTCTACATAAGTAATTATCACTTACCTTTCACTCCCTTGTCCGTGAAATACCTGTACCACAAGTTATCCCTCTGCTACAGTATTTTCACGGTCAAATATTATTACAAATAAATATGTACAGGTATTGAATAGTAAGTATTAAGTATCAATAGAATTAATACATTCAATACATGCACTGATCACAATTATGACTACATTATTAGAGGATCTGTTAAGTGCACATCAAGAGCAACTAGTACATTGATCAACTAGTACACAATTATGATGTCACTTACAGATCATGACAAATAATGATCAGTCACTCAATTGATGTGCTCATTCTCCTGGCCAAAGCTCCCTTGATTCTGAGCGCTCATTCTTTCCCCCCTTCAGTATTCTGGAACTTATAATCCGTGCCTCTTTCACTGATTAATCCCCAGAATATTCAGACACCAGTTAAACCAGTTAACATTTATATTGATACAGTACCCGTAACCAACATAAATCTTGTCTACATTTATTGTTCTTAAGCTTCAGTACTCTTACTCAACTTATCCACAGTATTCATAGCCTTGCTGAATATTCCCATCAACAATACCTGTTAATCTTCAACTAATTTTGTTAAAGCTTAATAAGTATTGTTAGCCCATTCCCTTTTGGGAATAACCAAATCAATCCCAGGTGAGTCTTAGTACCCTGGATGCCTATTAATACCTTGTATTGATCCGGATGCGCTGTTGATAGCAAGCCTCTCAGTAAAGACCATACTGATAGAGTGAAACCTCCTCTTTACAGGACTGGTATTAATCACCCACTACCTAACACTCACCACGCTCACAAATTACAGTCAACTCATAGTAACAACCTTTTTACTATTAAATACTCAGGTTAGTTACCCAGAGGCTGACAATTGGGGGTCTGGCCTCCTACGGATTCCGTGACTAACATATCTCCGTG